TAATATTTTCGGAACTAAAATGAAAAGCGTCTAGAAACAGACATCGGGAGAAAGCTTAGGGCTGCACTTTACTTTAGGTCCTCGAATGAAACAATCGAATAGCCTAATCGATATTTTCATTCGAATGAGTGTAGGACCTAAAGTAAAGTGCAGCCAAGCTTAGAATCTGCCAAAAACAACGATACCAATCTCGATCCAGTTCAATCTGATTCAGTCAGTCCCAGAGCCTTTGCCGTAAACGATGTTTGTGTGTCGCTTAAGCGACGCATAACACCACGGCGGGTGTGTTGTGCGTCGATTACACGACGCTTAACACTCAGAGGATTAACTGGGCATACTATTATACATAAGTTAAAAGTGAGGTGATAGCGCATGGTGAGCGGATGGAGAAATGGTGGTTGAAAGGTTGTTGCTTGTATCAAATGACTCAGTACAACCGACAGAGGGTTTTAAACAGCTTTATTTAGGTACCTAGTCCTTAGTACCTAGCCTATAGTCCTAAGTAAGTAAAGATAATTAAGTTGACTAGGTAATTTAGTCATAAACAAACTAATTGACTATTAAATTAACTATAAAACAACTTTGTCTGCTTACCTAAATACCACATCTCCATTGTTTGTATTCTCTTCTGAAGCCGGACTGATTTCATTATTAGATTCCACCTTTAAGCTGTCTGAACTGATTTCATTATTGCCTGAACTGATTTCATTATTAGACTCTACTTTTAAGCTGACTGAACTGATTTCATTATTAAATTCCTCCCTTAAGCTGTCTGGACTGATTTCGTTCTTAGATTCCTCCCTTAAGCTGTCTGAACTGATTTCTTTATTAGATTCCTCCCTTAAGCTGTCTGAACTGATTTCATTATTAGATTCCTCCCTTAAGCTGTCTGAACTGATTTCATTCTTAGATTCCTCCCTTAAGCTGTCTAAGTCAAGGTACAGTTTGCTGTTGCCTTCTTCACTACCAACCACCTCTAAAGGTTGAAATAGTTCACCAACTTCTCCATCATTTTCAACAGATTCCATGTTAAGTTGTAAGCTTCATAAATAAAAGATCAAAGCTCTCACTTGACTAATTTATAAGGTTCGTCTGTGCAAAAAATGCGTTGGTAAATTTGCACAATTTATAGGCCGTCACACAAATAAAGTTACACTCCCAGATTATGTTAATTATTATTATGCGGTGCAGTATCCTAACTAATTATTATTTACATCTAATGTTTTTTCACAGATGTGAAACAGTCAGTTTTCACTAGGCTACTTGGTATTTACCAAATTACCATCACGCTGAAAGATGGGCCAGGAATAATACCGGTTAGAAATTAGAATATATGCTAAGAAACAACAATGCATCAATCACTGTTTCTTACATTATACCTTTAACTAAAACTTTATATTATACCTCCAAACAAAATTGAGATAAGTAGATCACTAGCACTAACCACTAGCCAAAGCCAACAACGGACAAGAAGAGGAAATAATTGTAAACAGTAAACACTAAACAGAACTCGAACCAGAGCAGACCATAGGGTTGTTGGTCCAGGTTTGCCAATTCCCCCACCGAACCTGCCGAAAATACCCACTTTTAAATAAAATTACCCACTTTTACGCGTTTAATAGAATCAGATTAAATATTGTTTTTGTCAATGAGTATTAATTGTAAGATTTATTATAAAATATCGCAAAACAAGTTTGTAAGTTATTGGTTGATCTGGATTTCAAATAAAGTAAAATAGTGTACCAGAGAAAATTACAAATACATTCTGTTGTATATTCCTATATCTCAAAATATCATATTCCCTGTGGTTTATAACGACTGTAAAGGGAAAATATAAAAAATAAAGTGCATAAGAGGGTCTAAAATATTTAAAATTACCTCAAACTTTTTTAAAGGATGCTGTGTAGGAACAAGTTATTTGAATTCACTGTTTATTTTACTTTTATGATACTAGATAAAGGATGCACAAAAACTTTTTTGCTTAAGAAATGAATCATCGTCATACAGAGTCGTATAAAAATGCTTACCTCCTTAATAGTAAATACAACCACGGCCGCATACAACTGTGAGTCATTGGTTAAAATTATGTTTTTAATCTAAACAGTTTCTACCCAGTGGCAGTTCTCTTGTCATGGGGGGGGGCGAACGGTGGTTTTCGACGCTAGGAGGGTGGACCGGGGTCCCCCGGAAAATTTGCTATATGTAAAGCCGTTTTGTGAATTTTTTGGCAATTTTTAACGTCTGCTGTGTCTAAAATCCACCTTAACGATTTTATGACCAAACTAGCTGTTTGCCCGTTCTACGTACACGGGAAAATTGTAGTAAGTTGAAACGGCTGGGTTCCATATTATCGACAACCGTAGAAATTGATCGAAAAACTGGGACCCCACGGTTGAAACCATATTCAGAACAGGAGTTGGTTTGCATATTAAGTGTGCAATTTTCCAGATATGCTGGCAAAACTATTACTGTATAGGAATACAAATAAACCTTCGCAAATGCAATATCTGACAGTTTATCAGTCAAGCATTCTGGGGGTAAAATTCCGGGGGTAAAAATCCGGGCCGTACACTCTAGGTTTTTATAATTTGATGTGTTCTGATTAAATTCACAACCGTGAAAATATATGTTTAATTCCGCGTTTAATCCATCGAGCTGTTGTCACAAAACTCAAAAGTTCGCGGCCGGAATTTTACCCCCTGGTTTGTGACGTCACGTTTGCCCAGGGGGTAAAATTCCAGGGGAATAAAAATCCGCTACCCCAAAATACTACCTCAACCTCACTACTGCACACTTTATTCGGGTTGAAATTTTCATTAACAAAGGTGCTTTTGTCTTTTCCTCCACGAAACACTGAGAAATAAGGACATTAATGCGTTTAACAACATACATACACACACAAATACAGAATTTAATTAGTGGATTTGAATACGCTTTAACCAAAGCAAAATACAAACAAAATAATTATTTGAAAGTTTTGATAGTGTCATCAAATGTTATGATAATCATTTTTAGGCCTAATCAAACTGTAAAATTTGCGTAAAGCCATTGGCAAATATACAAATAAGTAATTAAATACACAGTCCACAAACCTTTTATACGTTAACAACGCCAAGCTTTAAAAGTTCATGATGGTTTGCTAAAAAAATCGTTCACTAATGTTTGATCATTTTCATAGCATAAACCAACATTTTGGAGTCCAGACAGAAAACACAAAAATTATACATTAAGACATCAATTAAGGGAATAAGAAATAAGGTGAAGCACTAACGATAATAGTTGTAAATAGTGATGTGTTTGTACGTAAAAATAATTCTTATATATATCTTATATATATTCCACCGGCTCTAAGGAAAAGTAGCAGTACCAAAAACCAACGTTTATATTGAAGAAAAGAACTATATAGTACTTTTGACCAATTCAAACTGTCCTTATAATAAAACTGTATTATAGGTCGATTCGGATTCGGCCTCGGTCAAGAGAGAGTGATAGAGACAACTGACAGGTGACGAGATTGACAGTTCAGTTCAGGCAAACAGTGAAAGAGCAAATGAATAGCTAGTCCACATAACAATCCTCAGGTTACAACTTAGATAAAACATTTTATCTATGATAATTAAAACATACTACTTGGTTACAACGACTAATTGTACAGTATTATGACGACAGAATACTATAACAAAACGGTTTTATACTAAGATTAAAGCTGTATACATTTATAATTATACTCGTAAAATAAAACCATAAACTTATATCCTATAGCAACCAGATCATTACTTAAAACAACAACATCATTCCGTTTGGGCCCTCTCATCTTTATTATTTAAAAATAATTGCCTTCTCTCCAATCTTGGCAGCAACCTTATTATCACGAATGGTATTTTTATAGTATATTATGCATACTTTTTGCGGCGGATGATATTTTACCGGGGACTATTGTTGTTCCCACAGACATTCAAACAGGCAATCTTAAATTTGATAAAATAAACATTTGACTAAACAACATCACCCTGTGAAAATGTCTACCTCATAATAATTAAGAACAAGGCTGTCGCGCTGCACATCAACTTCCGAATCAATAATAATAATAACATAACCGATGATACATCCACCCAAATAGCACACATTGTTGGCCCAACGTAGGGAAATGGTCGGGATGGTTGGTAAATGCATAGATAAAACATGAGGAGTATGTTTTATCTATGGTTTTATAATAAGCTGGTAAATCCCTGACAGCTCATGTCTACAGTAAAATGAATAATTGGCTCTGCTATTATGAGTAAGTTCGTGTGTGACACCAATAAGTTTGAACTACACTAAGTTTAATATTAAAGATTAGAGATACTAAAAATAATATTTTTGTTTAAAATATTATTTTTTAACGGTACAAGAATAGGCAGATTTTTGTCTGCCGTGCTTTTTAGGATTTGACAGGAGAAAACATTTGTATATGTATATTAGCCAGTACAGCATATTTTTTCTAGCCCAGGAACCAGGGTTGGCATACACCTGTTTGGTTATATAACCAAACAGTAAAGCACAAATCATGAAACTACCCCAAAAGGCCAAAAATAATGGAAACAAAATTTCGTCGACACTAGCGATCAGTGTCACCGGACATTAACTAGGCTCGAAAAACGAACTTCCAAATTTACAATGGGATGATTGTCTACTTTTACTTGTGTTGGTGGTTAGGTTAGTCCATGATAAAAAATACTGAATGGATGAACTATAACGATTACACAAGTTCCCCGATCTACGTGTATGATTGCTTTAAGTTGTTTGTGATTTGTTTTGATAAAATAAGATTCATCAGCATTTTTATATACATCACATTTACATTTTGAATAAACATACATTACAACCTGCATATATTTAGATAGTGATTGTTTATACGTATAATCCTGCCTTAATGTACTGGCTTAATATAAACACAAAACAGATAAGGGCAGTGTTATGGAAAGGAGAATGAATGGGTTGACTGACATGTTTAGGGAACATTGATATGGCTGTTCGTGTTCTGTTTTCTGCAATTGTCAAGTTTAATGGTGTGCTGTGCAGTTGTTTTTCTATTGTCGAAATACATCCTTCAATCATTAATAACGCTTGGTTGTGAACCTAAGAGGACAATATACTGGCGTGAAACACATGTGTAAATGCGATAATTGTAGCTTTTTGACGTATTTGATTCTGCAAGACCACCCATCTCGACAATGGCAGGAGGTTGGATTAACTACGTACTAGACTGACAAAACATTTTCTGACTTCTATGCTCACAAACCACTCCTTATTCCAAGGTATATGTGATCTTTTCCTTTTGAAATTTTGATATGGTTTAAAGACATGAATTTGTTGACTTCCATACACGTGAATTTTCACTCATGCCTTATTAGCTTGTGCTTTGGCCACAACGTCTTAGGCCAATATTATTGAGAAAATAATGGGCCAAAGAATAAGTGACCTTAAAGGAATATTTGGAACAATGGAAGTAAAAGAAGTGAATGATATTGTCTCTGGAAGCAACTCCACTTGCTATGCTAATAGTGGGAATACAATTGAACAGAATAATCTGTCTCATGATAACAATGGGAATAACCAAGCTAATTTTGGTGTTGATGATCATTTTGAAAACATATATAGCAACAATTCAGAGAGTACTAGACATTCAGAAGATAACGGCAACTCAATTTTACCAGAGCTGAGACCGTCCACAGCTGGCCTAGGTTTACCAGCCAATTTCGTCAACCAAAATTCCTCAGAAGCGTCTGCTGCTGCTGTATTATCTGTTTCACAAGATGGACAGGCCTGTTCAATCAGCAATGATTTGAAGTTATGTTCTAAAGCCATGAGACACAACGGGACACAGAAATGTATTGGCGTTTCCAAAGATGTTTCTGGTGGCAGCAGTAAAAAGAAAAGGCACCATTCATGGGTTTTAAGATTTAACTGTGCTAGACTTAAAAGCGGAAGTAGTAGTAGTGCTGCTGGGTCCGAAAACGATATTGCAGAACCTAATATGGGCTGTGACTCATGTGTTTGCACAGGTTACAGACGAACTGAAGACCACCATTTGGGCGCAGGTGTTGTTTTTGGCTCAACTTCCCTTCAACAAAGAAAAAATGAGTCTACGGTGAATAGCGATTCTAGTAGTGGAGAAGAAGAAAGAGATTGTTTTTTAAGAACACGTCCAGTTATTGATCTATCAAAATTCAACCCAGAAGATTATCCTATAGAAGATTGCGATGAAAGAGCAAGACTTGAACGAGCTCGTGAAATTGCTGAGGGAGTCGACCCTCCTCCTGGATTCCGCCCTGCACCGCATATCCAAGTTGTCATTCCTCCAGAACTCACAGTTGACAATATCACTGCTTTATTTCAATCAGCAGCGCTATCTGCACTATCACAGCTGGATGTTACACAAAGAGTTGTCCATACTCAAGTTGATTATATTCACTGTCTAGTGCCTGACCTATTACAAATTACATCTTGCTCCTTCTATTGGGGTAAAATGGACAGGTATGAAGCAGAAAGGTTACTTGAAGGTAGACCAGAAGGTACATTTCTGTTACGGGATTCTGCACAAGAAGAGTATCTTTTTTCAGTTAGTTTTCGTAAATACGGGCGATCATTGCATGCTCGCATTGAACAATGGAATCATAGGTTCAGCTTTGATTCTCATGATCCTGGAGTTTTTGCATCATCTACAGTATGTGGTCTCATAGAACACTACAAGGACCCATCCTGTTGCATGTTTTTTGAGCCTATGTTAACAATCCCTCTTCATCGGAACTTTCCTTTTCCTCTACAGCATCTTTGTAGGGCTGTTATTTGTAGTAAAGCGACATATGATGGTGTGTCTCAACTACGTCTACCCAAAAGTCTCAAGAGTTATCTGAAAGAATACCACTACAAGCAAAGAGTGAGAGTGCGACGTTTTGACTCTGAACAATACTAACTTGGTCATAACTAGATCTAGGTGAGTACGCAATTTTCTATGCAACGGTTAGATTTATCTTAGACGTAAACTTTGCTTAAGATATAACTAAAACTATGATAGCTTCTGGGACAGACAGATTCTTTAGGCCAACTTCTTATATTTTCATTCGGTACTTTCCTGTTACAAGGGGAACATTCATTATTATCGATGATTTCTTTTTGATATATCGATGTTTTATTTTTTTATCGATATATTGATATTAACAAATTGAAACTTATCAGCTGCAAATAAATATTGTTCAGTACCTACTAACAAACAATACAAAAACATATTTTATTGAAATGAAACTGTTCTAAAACTAAACTAGGCCTAACTAAACAAACTTGCTGTAACATTTCAAAATTAAAAAAACCGTAGCCTATTCCCCATATGCCTTTTTTGTTATCAAACGTAACTTACCCTAAAGTACACAGCAAGTTTGGTTAATTATGTTAGGTTAGTTTAGAATAGTTTCATTTCTTAATCCAATATAGCGTAGGCTATTATTTTTACCTAAAAAAGATTAGTTACTTAATCCTATTCTCTTATACGAGCTATAACTCAATAACAGGTTATTGAACCGATATAACTTAGACATATTCGCTATGTCTGTTTGTTTGTTGATGAAGTTTGGGACAGTAAGTTAGGGTACCCACTCAACCGCAAAAATCTTAAAATTTTGAATGGGTCGTGGATTTTGGCAACCGTTGATTAACCTGGTTTGAGCTGTGAATTATTTGGTTAGGCCTAAATCTTAAAATGGGAATTTTAATTCCGATTCTTGATTCTTCAAACTGGTAATAGCAAGGAAAAGTAAATCTTTGATACTTTGTGACTTTGGAATATACAAGGGCTATTTCAGCGTTCTGACGCCTATAGGCGGACGCCTATCTTGTACATTTTGGTGTGTGCACACTCGGCAACTCAGTTGGCTGTGACAACAGGAATAACTTATCCTAGCGCTGCCTTTTTTTTTTTTGTAATTTGTAGGTACTTAGATAGGCACTTTGATTTGAAAAACCCGCCAGTTGTGAGGTGCGGTAAATGATACTCATTTTGTTGGCAAAAAAACATAAAACCAATAAATATTTATGGCCAAGTGTGTGAAGTTCGCGGAAACAATGTAGGGTAGCCTACCCTAATGGTTTGTTGTTTAACAATTTCAAACAACAAGTCCACGAAACTTGAGGGAAACAAAACGAAAACTCTGTTATCATGAATTGGCGGTTTTCCCGAACCTTTTAATCAACTTTTGCGACTAGTTCCATCAGTCACATTGCTCGGGCGTACCTGCTCTTCCCTTCGTCATGACTACCGGTAATGAATGTCAGTTCGGCCAGTTTTAAACTGAAGAATGCACTATTTTCACACAGATATTTCATTCATTACGTTGTTTCAGTAAACTTCACACTCGGCGATAAATGTCTATCGGTTTTAAGTTTTTTGCCAACAAAAACTGTTCCATTGATCGCGCACCTTACAACTGGCGGGATTTTCAATTGCAGCGCAAATCTTAAGTTGAAATTGTGAAAAAATGAGCAGCCCGACTAAGAATGTTCCAGTTGTCACGAGTGCGCACGCATAAAAATGTACTAGATCAGCGTGGGCCTAGCGGCGTCAGAACAAAACTTTCTGAATGGTCCTCATATAGGACTCTAGGATCATCCGTGATCACGAATCTATATCAAATATTGTATTCTTCTCCCACTATAGGCCCTAATTGACTGGCTTGAGACGAGTCACAGATCGCTCATAATGCACATTGAAAGGGTCTAGGAAAACAGTCAGATTAGATACTATGTTGTAAGTAGGTTCCGCAGTGTACAGGGCTGGAAAACTATTACTGCTAGGTGCTAAGCTGCCTGACTCTAATCAGTTTGCTGATGTCTCTCTCTCAATTTATATGCATATCTAGATACTCTATTTGTTTGTGTCTGAGGTCTGCAATTCTGCCACTTAAGGCTACCTGTTGCTTTTCTGTTGATGTCGCTTGCCCTGACCCATATCAACATCACAAAAATATGAAAACGTGACTTAAAAATTGGAATAAACCTTAGATTATTTTTATTAGGTAGGGATAGAAATGTAATACAAAATAACAATGTATTTTCCTTCTATATTTCTAATTTTCAGCATATTTTAATGTGCAGAAAATATATCGTTCAAGATAAGTATATCTAAATTCAAAGTTTAGTTGAAGTAATGTGTGATTAAAGTGTTTGCATTTTTCAACATTTATTTAAATGCTAAAAGATTTATTGATTTAGTTCAATTTTTTCCAGTTGTGAGCTGCAGCTTATGTTCCAGAGGTACTTTACTCCTTTACTAGGCCTGGAAATCATTACTGGAATCACAGTGAGTCATTATAGTCCAAGTGTTTTCTGACCAATGAGAAAAAAAAACTGTTAGGCCTTATTTTAATGCTTTTAACCTAGTGGCTACTGTACTAGGCCTATAGGGCCTAGTTGAAATGTCTGAGTCAGTATATTTTTACATCAAGATATTGAAAGGAGGTAGTGCACTAGCAAGAGTGCTTGTAGTCATGCAGAATTAATTTAAAACAATGAACTCTCCACTTTTGAAAATTAAGGAAATACCTATAGGCCCTACCTCAATATTTTAGTGGACAATGTGCTTGCCTGATAATAGAAGGTTACTCGTTTGACACCGATAACAGTTCGGCAGACTTATGATGGTTTATTCTTCGAAAAACCAAGCTGAATTTGTTTCAAATAGGCCTATTCAAGAAAAAGTCAGTTTTTAATTTACTGTTTTAACCTAAAACTATTTGTCTTATGAGATGTCTTGTGGTGTGACTTTATTACTGAAAGCAGCATGAGGCATCACCCCTAAATTAAAATAAATTATATATTTTGTCCCTAATTGTTTTCATCGTTATAGTCGTAATCAATTAAATACAGTGATGTCAGGATTGTCAAACAGAGAAACATAGTTAGGGCTTTGATTAATTATAATTCAAAAATATTAAAATACAATGTGAACACTTTTTGTGATTTGTCATTAGGCCCATATGACTTAGTGTATTCTAGTTTGAAAATTGTATCCCCATAGTTAAGTCCCTAAGCACAATTTTTACCGTGCCATTTGATGTGCAAGTAACTTTACTAAAGGCTTCCTTGTTAGTAAATTACCGTACTTTTCTTAAATTTGAAACTAAATGATTACTATATCCTGTAGAGTGCGGCTGGCTGAAGGGTCGGTACTACTCACATACAGGTCTCATACACACACGTACACATATACTGCTCGTGACATCTAAGCTGGCACTTGGCCTAGCGCGGGCAGTGTAGGCGGGAGGAGGGTGGAGGTAGGGAAAAGACCGGACTGCAAACATTTCCGCTGCCTCACGGGGTTGACTCCCCTTGTATTATGTACTTGAGCGCCTTCATATGGTTGGCGAGGACAGTTGATGCAACCCGCATGACGGGACATAATGGTTTTGAACAAGCTACTAGTAGCGATCGGCCAAGTGCCAGCATAGATGTCACGAGCTGTACAAGGGATTAGGACGGATCATTGAGGGTGAGTCGAGTCCCTCGGACGTTGGTCAGGGCACACTCCCTGAGCTAACAGTGTATATACTGGCACACATTTCTTCAAACATTATAAAAATCAAATAGGGTTTAGTCGTGTGATTTTATGATTATTTTTAAGCACCAACTTTGGTATTTCGAGGTATTCACCTGTATCTTAGCTTGACAAATCCCAAATGTAAAAAAAAAATCAAAAGACAATTTTTTTCAAATTTTGGATTCTGGCTTATGTTTGCAAGGGAATGAAATCGGTTGGTGATTTGAAAATTATTCATGGGTAGAAGAAAATGCATCCATTTTGGGTTTAGTGTATTAGTAAGCAAATGGGCTTAAATGTGATCAAGTTATTTAAACTACAAATAATCAAGAATACTCTCTGATCTGTTCCAATTAAAACAGATGTAGGCTATAGTTAGCAGATAAACGCTATCACAAAAGGGAATTGTTAACATAACATATGACCAAACAAAAGAAAATATTTATATTTAATTGGTGATAAACTAGCTGACATTTGTTGTTTTTCATATTTATTCTTATTATGGTTTTATTTTATTGACCTGTTGAATCACATTTTGTGAATAATTAGTCTAATCAAACTTGTGTTGTTTGTATAAAGTAGCAAGGTTTTATTCTTCAATCAGCTTATTTCTTAATATTTTGCTAGTTTAGACAGAACAATTTTTAAACTCTTAACTTATTTGCTTTAATATTTGTCTACGGTATTAGCTTGCTTGTAAGTTGCATTAAAAATGTACATCCTTAGTAATTGCCATAAATAAAGGCCTATTTAAAAAGGTTATTAAGATATAAGTGTAGAAAGTTTTAACTAGGCCTATTTAATTTTAATATTATTGTGTTTGTATTAATTTATACTCTCGCTGATATGTTTTAAATTATTTAATGATACATTTTTAAACTCTGAATTAAAAAAAAAGAACTATTTTTGTATTTTTATATAGGCTGATTTTAATATTATTATTGTGTAGGCCTATGCCGGTAGGTATTGAAACATGTATGATTAATATTTGTGTACAGGGTGTTTTTTTGTTTTTTTTTTAACTTGGGTAACTAAAAATATAAGTAGATACAGAGGCATTGTTTGGACAAAAAATAAGCTCTTAAGTTGGCAGCCCTGCTTCCTCTAGCCTACTTTGTTACCAATCATTTTGATATGCTGATTTGCTTTGTTATCCACACAGTTTAGTGTTGTTAGGAATCAATTTTGAATAAGCTTTTGAACATATTTTTCTCTAAAACTCAACCCATGTTCTTTAACACGGATAAAATAATATTAAAAAATAAATATTACATTATTGATTTTATAGTTTATAACCCGTAGTTTATGCATTACGTACTAGAATCTCACCTAAAACATGATAAAATTTCCCAACATAAAACAAATGATTTACTTATAATGTATTCTTCTACAATACGTATACTCTTTAAGCTTGTGAGAGTACCATGTTGAGTCTTATTCATAATAAATTGTTAATTATTCTAAACCACAGAGGAGTTATATACAAAGGATACAAGCTTATGGAACAACTGTGCGCTTTTAGTTCTGGTATGTTGGACCAGAAATGTACTTGGAAGGACAAGCAAGGAAAAGCCCGAACGGTGATGGCCACATAGCATTGTTGTACAGCTCTTGTAGCGCACAGTGCTTCCTTCAACGTTAGCTCTGTATTACATCATTGCGAGAGGGAAAGGAGAGCGAGAGGGGAAAACGAATAGATTTGCTCTTGACACCAGCTTACGTGTACAATTGAATTTATCCTCTGTTTCTTTCTTCTATGTGGCTAAACCATGTAAAAGGCATATCAGCTAATGGGAAATGAAGTAAGAGTAGCAGGGCTACCAACATATGTGAGCTTGATTTGTCCATAAACTTTACGGTTTACGTACAATCTCAGTACTGTAATTTGGGTTGCATAAAAAAAACACTGTATATAGTTGTAATGTTTTACAATAATTATACAAAGTCTGTTGAATTATTTCTTGTTACCTATGCAAAAAGTATTATGTGTTTATGTGTATTTTTATATTTCAGATTCTTTAAATTACACACTTCATGTTAGACTAAGCTAGGAATGATACTGATGTCCTGTCAATATGTCACAATCTAACCTTTGGTATTCCTTTTATTTGTGACAAATCATACAATATTGGAAAATAAAGAATGGGATCTAATGTTTGTTAACTGTCAAAAATACCTTGTTGAAAGCATACATTTTCTTTTCTGACAACAATGAAATAAATTAATTTAAAAAGCTTGTATCGACCCATTGAAGTTGGAGAATTCAACAAAAAAAGAGAAACCAGTTTCTCCCTTCTATAAACTCATTTAAAAAGAAACAAACCAGGCGTTGCGTGCAACCCCTATGCCAAAAACATCAAGATTTTAATATTGTTGTTCATGTTTGAGACGTTTATTATGACATTATGGTATACATAAAAAACTTTGTTTTAAAGAAAAAAGCTGATATCACGACATATGAGTGGAACGGGATGTCGCAGCCACCGCCACCTACAAGTGGAAAGGGTCACTAACAGATGTTTAATAGTTAAAGAAATTACTTGACCATCCCTTAAATTATTGACCATACATGGCCTCAAATGTTTATTTTTTTAAATGAAAATAAAATACTTTTTCAATGTTAGTTTGAAGTATTGAACTGAATTTAGGTTTAATTATTTTCACCCGTATTGTACAGTTTTGCTTAGTGAAGTTTTGTAATGATACAGTTTTTAGTTTCAAATATTGTATGGTTTGTTGACAGTAAGAATCAGGGTCAGGAGCTGGCATAGCCCAGAACATTAAAACTCAACATTTTCTATCTGTACTTTTTCTGATACAGCTGTTTGTATAACTTTTTTTAGTCACAGTTTGTGGAAAAAAACTCTGATGTTACACAATTAAGTGACTCCAATGTTTTTTTTTTAATCTTGTTTTACTATTGTACAAAGAAGTAAGGAATAGATTATACACTTCATGGTACAATTAAGAGGTGTCTAGCACTAGTGCTGGTGTCTAGGGCAAAGTCCAACACCGTCCCCTCACCCTCATCCCTACTACAACGTTCACGGTGGAGAAAGACCCTGTACCTTGTGCGATAGGAATTTCCGCAGTGTTGAAAGTTCACCATTGTTCCATAAGCGTGTTTCCTCTGTACCTTACTTTTATGTGCTGGTTGTTCCTAGAAAGGCTTGTGACTCCAGTGTGATTTTTGGAGAAAGTGAGTGATATTCAATTTACATCTTAAGAGTTCTGAGCTGTGCAGTTTCTCACATGATATCTTTCTGTCTCTTATAGTAGTTAAAATTTTAGTTGTTGACATTAATGACACTAAAAATTACATAATAATCAATGTAAACAAAGAGCAAGAGCACCTATACTGTATTATAGCTGTATATAACATTATATTGTAAGCATAAAGTATTATAACTGGTATATAAATATATTATTTGTTATGAGTTTATTAAATGTATCGATATGTATTCAAACAGTACTTTGCAATGACAAAGTTCCTATCCTGTTTTGAATAATATTAATGTTAGGTGGGGACATTGCACTTTGTATTTTAATTACAATGTATACAAATATTTGTAAAATAAATTAAAGCGGTCCATGTATAAAATGTTCACTATTGTATAATGCAATGTATCGCTTTATGTATTATAAATCAAATGCGGATTTGAGAAGCTGGTGGGTTGATGCTGACACTGTGCTTTGATGACTTAAATGTCTTATTTATGTTAATGATGTAATATTTTTGTTAATAAATAATTACTGTTTGTAACGTGTGTGTTGTCAATGCCAAAGATAAGATTTTGAACGAATCACTAGGTATAGCAGAGTCTGAATGTGAACATGTATTAGATTAAAATTACTATAACTCAATCTGGACCAAAAACTGTCCTCAGACTTTATAACCTAATTAGCTGTTCTAGTGCTGCATAGCTTGCCTCTACCTAACCTGAAATTGGGTATAGTCCTGTCCTTTTCAGTAATTTAACAAGCCCAAACTTTACATGCGCAATGTTGATTTAGTAGTTAGATTTACACACCAAACTTACACGGCCTTTTTCAATCTAATTCTATTCAGATAATTAAATATTGTTGGTCTGAATTAAGTTGCAAGACAGAATTTTCTAGGACACCAGTGGCGACTAATATTAGAGTGGGCTTGCGTTGATCATAAATAATGTTTACTTACAATATAACCCCATGCCTTTTGGGTGGGTTTTGCATCACTACTTTTAATGGTCAATCACTGCCACTGTAGGGCATCAGCTTGGTAAGTGTATTGTTACATAGTTTACCAAAAACCTGTGTATAGGCATTGACTATTGTATACTGAAGTAGATGTCCCATCTATATGTTGACGGGTCATAACAGTTGCTACAGCATTACTTTGAATTGGTAAAACAGATTGTGTATTCAACAGAAATCAGTAATTTAAATCAACACAATCTGTCAGCTCACATCAACTACGACTATTTTGGTAAAAAAGCTGGCTACAAATTTAACATGGGTATTGGGTATAGAATGTCTAGTTAATTAATAGTCAAAAGTATAGGCTATAGGGTAGTAACTGGTATATTAAGTCTGTCGACAAAAAAAATTGCAAATGTGAAATAATGTTACTGACTCTAGCCAGCTGTTGTTGGAGTATCATCTTACAAATTAACTAACCCTGTGCCCTAATGACGTAAATAGTGTGAAATTGTTCCAACTTCTGCCTCTACTGTTCATGTGACCAGTACTATAACTACATTTCTCTGTTGTATTGGCTTGCAGCCATCCTTGTAGATTCTTGCTACCAGCTTGGAATTCAGTTTCTAACATCCGAACTTGGTGCCACCACTCGGCAGCCCTGAGAACGACAAAAAAGGAAAACCATGGTTTTTTTAACCAGTGCTGCTGACTCTCTTGAGTCATCGAGTGTATTTTGGCAGTACTATAGGCTCTGATCACGGACGGTATGGTTATCTTGAGTGTGGGGGGTTCTTCCCGGAACCTCAATTGAGTCAAGGATGTCGCCACCTTTGGTGGATAGGTTCATCCGGGTGGGTCCCACTTCTATACCTGCCTCCTTTTGGGAAACCCTGATGACCTGGCAGTGATGTTGGGTCTGACGGGCAAACGAAGTAGATCGGGTGCTGGGTCCGAGCCCGCCAGAGGTATCCGGGGATCTATCGCTCTGGTTATCTCTGGTTTCCCAGCAACTGGGTAAGGCCTCGATCGGGTAGTGGTGTAAGGTCCCCTTCCTTCTGGCTATTGATGGCGGGTTTGCCTGTCAGGGATTAGATAGGTCCCGAGTGTTGCTTGCACTAAATGCGTCGGGACGCTCTACTATGGTCCTCTAGGTCCCGACCTAGTGGAACCCAGGTGGAGTGACGCTTAAACAAGTAGCCGGAAACCCTGGTTAGGATTGAGGGGCAACCCTCTTTCCGAAGGGTCTGCTTCGGCAGCCGGTGAGCCTGATGACCTTAAGTCATCCGCCCATGATGTGCAAAAGGTTGATGCGTAAGCTTCGGCCTACATCATGGGGCCCGGGTAAGTCTCACGATAGGTACCGGGTATGTAGTCAGGGGGCTTCGGCTCTCATGACAAATATTGAAATTGAAATTGAGTACTATAGGCTATCCGAGCAGGGAGTACCAGTTCTATCCCAACTTCTGTGCTTAAGATCGCAGTCAATACAGCTGGCCCAATGGATTAAGACAACCTACACCAGTTAGCTGAAGTCTCATTGAATGGTTAAGCCTAGTCCAATTGGCGAGTTGTCTCTGGAAACATTATTGGCCTTGTTTCTGGAGACAAAATACAGTTTTTTCTGATCCTATACCATTGGGAAACACAAAGACAAGATTCATGTCTCTTGTCTCAAGTCAGCATGTGTGGACGTGTCTGGAGACAGGAAATTGTAGATGGCCCGAACCCGCTGGTGTGGAGTGTGGAGTTCAGGGCTGAAATTGTAGACCTATAACATGTACATTTCTTTGCCATCTTTGGCACAAAAAAGCCTTAAACAGAACCACAAAATCATTAGGAGTCATTCTTGTAACGTTTCTAAATCATGCGCCATCTTATAATCGAGGGTATGATCGAAGGTTTTGGCCACTATTACATCAGCCACATTATTTAGAAGTGAGAAGCCCTCCATTGCAAGCAACTATATAGTGTGATTGTTGACGGAAAGCGGCTGGCTGAAGGGTCGACCCTACTCACACACACGCAGGCCTCACACACACAGACGCAAGGGATTAGGACGGACGTGGGACGGACCATTGTCCTGCCGCGCGAGTCATCGCTGGCTCACGGAAATTAAACTATCAATTTTTTAATTTTACGTTTGTTATAAAATCTGGTAACGCTTTTGACTTCAGCTCAAAATGCTTAGTAAAATGATACCAAACAATATATATTTTGCTTACAAAGTGTAAACGCTACGAATATTTTAACACGTTTTTATTAGCTAGCTACTTGTCATAATCATTTCGTGTTTGGACTCATTTTTCATTGAATTAAACAACAAATTTATTAACACTAACCATTTTACTGTATATCTAACATCAAATGAATTGCAATTTTGAGGTATCATACAACAGATGTTATATTTCTACTTAGTGAATAGGGGATCGGGGCTTTGAGGCAATTAGGCCGGTGGTGAGTGTGCGTGCGTGAGTCGGGTCCCTCGCAGGTAGGGCTGAGCTCCAGCCGCACTCCGGTAAAAATCAGACTATAGTTTGTTCACAAAATTTAGGCGGTTTAAGGGTGGTTTTTTGAAGTCTTCCGGTTCAAGAAGGGTTTGCCGCTGAAATGTCAGTGTCGCCCGGGGTACGCGTGATGTCGTTCTTAGCGTGTAATGGTCACAATCGTGTGAAGTCTGATTTCTGGACACGGAAAGTAAGTAAGTAGGGGAAGGTTTACTAGATTAACCCCAAAACTTTTTTTAGCTCAATGTATATATCAACTGTTGGATGATGTTTAAAAATTATAGGGTTGAAATCGCTTCTCAAACCACCTACATTTTGTGAACAGAGTATACTACGTTAAGCTTACCCTTTATTCAGCCTAGCTAAAGAATCTTTTTGGTTAAAAGTAAAGTACCATATCAAACAGTCTGAATGGAGAAGGCTTTTGATAGAAAACTGTAACGCAAGGGCCAGAGAAGCAGAAAAGCAATTAATTTGCTATTTCCTTGAGTATCTAGATTGATTTAGTTATGCCTTTTTCAAACATATATTCCTTCTTCTTATGAACTAGTGAATCTGAATTCTTATTAAATCATTCTTTAAATGTTAAGTCCATCAATCCTGTAAACTTGCACAATTTATTTCAGGTGGACTTCTCCCACCAAGCTCTACTGAAGTTAGGTGAACTCGTTACAAGTTACATTCTAGACCTAGTCGAGATGGGATACAAATCCTGAGTCTTCTGTGCTCCTCATTAAGAGTCTTCTTCACCCCTGCGAAAACAATAAAAACATGCCTTGGACGTCCCTCGCTCCGGATGGAATGTGTGAAAATATGTTAAAACTTAACTATTTCCCTTACAGATAAAACTTGTTGGTTCTGGGGCCCTCATACATGATATATCCAAGAAAATCAATAGTATAAGTACAAAAAAAATCTTAAAGTAACGTAAATTGAGTCACTTTTAAACACTAATAAAACTAACTAGCTGTGTGCCCGTTCTACGCACGGGGATCTTATCATAGTCAGTTAAAACCTCCTTATATTAAGCACAGCAGTTGGTTTGCATACTTTCAGATATGCTGACAAAACTTAATAAAACTAATTATTTTTTTCATTTTCAACCTTTTGTGGTATAAGAGCTCTTATATAACTATTCAAATACATTTATACCAAATTTCAAGAACATTGTTGAAAAACGGCCTCCGAAACGGGGGACGAAATTAACATGTTTTGTTGGAGGCTACTTCGCTACTAGCCTTTTACAAAACTTGGCTCAGGCGGCAGATGAATCACCGACATGTCTATTTAGTAGTTGTGTGTTTACGATGTTTTCATAATGGCGCGCATAATGACCCCGCACTACCCTCCTGTCTACAACACCTTCCCCCCCAAGGCCATATCCCCAAAACTCAGGGTGATGAAGACTCTTAAGAGATCTCCATTTGTCACGACCAAGCTAGCTAGATAAAATCTAAGATCACTGCCGCAATTTTTATTACATCCACTACTACTCTTGCCGGTTTCTACCCCTATTCAACAATTAGTATCGTCAAAGTTGCCAAAAACAATGTTATGGAATTATTGCTTATACAGGGTGACACAAAGGAACCGGACGGTTTTGAAATAAGTAGTACACAGTAGTTAAAAGGAATAAAATGGTTTTAATACTGTACATAGTGAGCTACACATTGGCCATTTGTTACAAAACAGTCATTTTTTGAAAATTACGTCATGCATATGGCGGCCATGTACTTATATACAATTGTTCATTCTGGTCTGAAAATCATCTGAAACTCCGGTCAAGAGGTCTTGTTCAATGCCATTGATATATTCTGTGATTGCAAACTTCAAATCCTCTAGAGTGTGTGGTTTGTGAGCATGAACACGCTCCTAAAGAAACCCCCAAAGGATATAATCACTAGTGGACAAGCTGGGTGATTTTGGGGGCCACGGTATGTCACCAAAGCGAGAAATCACCTTTTTAGAAAACACTCATTCAATACTGCTCTCACTCTGGTGATGTTTTTGGGTGTTCTCGAAGTTCTAACAAGGCCTGGTGGTTTCTTTCTTGTTATATTCCCAGTTGTTCGGAACC